GTGTGTGTGTGTGTGTGTGTGTGTGTGAGAGAGAGAGAGAGAGAGAGAGAGTGTGTGTGTGTGTGTGTGAGAGTGTGTGTGAGAGTGTGTGTGTGTTAGAAACTGAGGAAAGGCCATTAAAGTCCAGGTGATAATTACCTCAAAGCCCTCCTTCATTTTCCCACCTTCACTCGTTTCTCTTTCCTCCTTTTCCATTTGGTGTTGGACAAAGAGAGGGTTTAAAATAAGGTTAGGTAAACAGCGCAGGCACAGGTGCTAAGAGACAAACCTTGTATAAGCACAACATGTTAGAGAAGATGCTTGGAATATTTTAATATATTTTATTTGATTTTCTTTGGTTGACAACCGAGGCAATGTTCACAGTGCTCAATAATGATTTCTGAAGATCATGTGACACTGAAGACTGGAGTAATGATGCTGAAAATACAGCTGCGCATCACAGAAATACATTACAGTTTAACATTCTAATAATATTTCACAATATACTGTGTTTTTTATCTAATAAATGCAGTCTTGGTGAGCAGAAGAGACTTCTTAAAATAAATTCACAAATTGTAATTATTCCAAATAATGTGTGTTACAAAGGAAGACTTTTTTCTTTGGAATAATTTGCACTGGTGAATTGCGCACAGTAACACCAGGAACATGCTTTAAAAAGGGCCAATTTTGAATTCATGTTCATTTTAATCCCAAATCATCATTAACATCCACCAGAAGGCCCTATTGTTCACATCTTTCAAAGGATAATGCCTCGAATACATGGCCTTCATTCAAGTTCTGATGTCTTTAGGCTGGTTTCTCTCTATCTGGCGCCTGTGATCTTCTCTTGCAGCAGATCTCTTACGGATTCCTGGGGCACGGCGCGGTTCTTCAGCAGATACAGACTTACACAGCGAGAAACCATGCTGCGCTGAGAGGAGAAGTAAATAAATAAAATAAAGTAAATAAAATAACTAAATCACAACATATTTCTTAAATATTGACATTTCCAGGTATTTTATTCCCCATAATTTAGCCAGTTACTATACTACAGTACACAACTACTTTTTTTTTAACATACTAAACCCTATAAAATCATATGAAATAATGTTTTTTGACACAGGACATGTGAAATAAATCTGTTTAGAAATCTTATTTATTTGTTTGTTTGTTTAAATGGAGCAATTTAAAGTGGTTCACAATTAATTAAAAAAAAAGGCTTTTGTTGTTGAGTGTCATATTTGATATATCAGGCTTTTATGGCCCATATGGTATAATATAATGAGAATGTGGAGAGCTCATACTCATACCCACCTTCATTTTATTCAGTTTCAAACTGGTGCAGATGTTATTTATATGGCCAAAAAGTAAGATGAAATTCATTGAGATTTTTATAACAGCAAAACATACTTACATGACATACCTCAAAATACTCATATTTTAACATGATTTTTCAAAAAAAAAAAAAAAAATTATGGATAAAGTAAGCAAAAGTTTCGGAGCACAAAGTAACATGAACCACAAGCTGAAGCTGAATGTTTGTCCAACTATACTAAAAGGCCTTTTACTTGATAAAGTATAAACTCGTTTAGAGTCTTTAGAAATGTGTGCATCAAATAAGACAGCAGGCTTTGGAGTCAAAGCATCACGTGTCATTAGTTCGCGCCCATGATTCATGGATTGGATCTGTTCGCGCTTCTTTTTCGGCTAGTCTTCTCTCTTTGTCCATGTAAGCGCCTCTGATGAGTTTAACGCCGAGACAGAAAGAGTGATCGATGGACGTCTGAATGGCATCAAGCACTAGATTCCCTGATTCCTGGTGAAGAAACAGACAAAGTATATCTATAACGCCATTAGAGATATAAAATGTGCTTCTTATACAGTAGAGGAGTTTTATTTTGAAATACTGTTGTTTTTGTTTGTCAAGATTTTGTAATGGCAAAGAAAGCTTGGCTGTGACCTTCAGCTAGCACTGAAGCGTGTTCCAGATCCAGGCATTTCATCATGGCTGTGGTGATGAGAGACAGCGCAGGATTCATGGATGTGTACTCCGCATCCACCAAAACTCACACTTTATTAACACTCGCCTGCGAACACACAGCATGCCACTCAGTCCCAGCGCTAACGTCTTTGTTCGCTTGGGTTTAAGGTTTGGTAGCTCTCCTATTCTGTCTCGGTCAGACCAGGAAACATGACGTCCTACCGGTTACAAAGAACACCATCTAAAGCAACACATACTAAATAACAGCTGATTACAATAAGCTTGTGACGTGCTACAGAGAAGAAACGATCATATCTGTACCTCTCCCTCCATGGCTCTCACAAGCACGTTCAGATCATACTGCTCTGTCTTCAGCAGAGACACCAGCTTCGCCTGAACAGGAATTCATATACATGGATCATAACATCTGTACTTTAAATAGAGAAAAGGACAGCAATGACAAAAAAGGACAGAATCATTCTGTCAAAGTACATATCAAACAAAAAAGCTGAATCGTTGTTCATTTCGACTCGAATGAAGTGATCAAACACTCACACACAGCTCAGGGCTGACGAGAGCGGTGATCTTCAGCTGCATCATGGGATTTTTACTCCAGCCTTTGCTGTGAGACATGCACACACTCCAGCATGGCCGCCAGGCTGTCTTCATATCGACGTTCCCTGTGGATATAAAGTGTGCCATGATCAAAGTCACAGCCAGTACTTGACAATGAAATACATTGTTCTACAACCTATAGATGCAAAAAGAACAAAGGTAACCAAATTGTATATATGCAAATTGTAAGTTTCATGCAGGTTTTAGAAAGAGAAAGAAACAGCATTGCTACAAATTCAGCATTCCTAGAAAATAATTGCACAACGGTTTGTGAAATTATCACAAACTCAAGGCTAAAAAAAAAAAAAAGCCTGAGAAATTGATAATGTGGAGCTACATGTCCAGGCTCACTGGGTCCCACGGTGCAGCTCAGCCCCTGGGCTTAGAGAGTCTGATGGTGCAGCTGCATATCTGGGCTCAGTGGGCCTTGTGGTGCAGCTCAGCTTCTGAGCTCAATAAAGCCGTGAGTATGCTTCAGTTTTGACATGAATGCTTAGTGTATGCGTACTCCTGGCAATTGCCAAACAGAATCAACTCCCATTGAAAAAAAAATATCTAAAGATTTTCTTATTCGAAAAGCCATTTTACTCGGATGTGTGTTAAAATAATGAAGAAGAAAAAATCGCAATTTAATCCTGTGGTGCTGCTCTACTGTACCTCCACGCAGGGTTATGGCCCGAGTTTTTATATTTCCATGACTTTATTAGATTGAAGTGTTTGTCATAAATCAATGACACGTTACATGTTTACAAAATATGCCCTCATAAAGACAAAAATGGGGTCTTACCCGGTGCTCTCTCCCAGGTCCTCTTCGATGGGGACGCTAGCATGGGGTGGACCCCCAGCGAG